CCCCACAAGCGCTGCCTCAGCCTCTGCCCACTCGGCTCCTGGCTCCCGCAGGCAGGTGGCCCTCCAGACACGGCCAAAAGTTAGCAGTCTCTGCAAACTCCCGCAGCTCTGTCCCAGGTCCTCCTTCCACACACCAATCTCTTCTAGCTCGTAGTTTTGCCAGTTTCATAAATCTCTGTCACATCAAGAAGACCAAACTTCCCACGGACTGTAGAGGCCACACTCCTGGCAGCCCTTGTGGGGCACGCGCGTCTCGCCAGGTACAGAGACCTGAGCAAGCTGAGCAACCTGATCGGACTCACAAGGTTGCCAAGGCTGGCCTCAGTCCACCCAAATGGCCAGACCACCAGGGAGCCTGAGAGAGATGGTGGTGCTCCCTGTGCCCATGCGAAGGCTCACAGTGCACCCGATGAGGAGGCAGCACAAGATGGCACAGGTGCCTGCAACCCCAGGATGCACTGCATGGTGCCCGATAAGTTGGACCCAGAAGGCTAATATTAATAGCCAGCCCTCCAGTGCTGCTCTGATGCATCACCTGGAGGGGCTCAGCTTTCACCTGCAACCCACCCTCCTCATCCCAAACTAAGTACTCAGGCCTGGGATTTCTAAGTGACAGCAGTATAGCTTAGGAGGCAACATGGTATATCAGCTTCCAACCACCAGCAGGAATATCACATACACAGACCTGGCGGAATGAAAGTCAAGGGCCCCAGCGCTCTGCAGGCTGCGGCGGAAAGGATACCAAGTGTGAGGCCAGCCAAAGGAGACCTTGGCTCAGAACATAAAATTAAAGACAAAAGAGCTTTTGATGTACCTACTACCGGTAAAGGCCCTGGGTTCAAGCTCTAGAATCACCACACACACACACACACACACACACACACACACACACACACACAATTTTTAAGTGTTGCTGGGTGTGGTGGTACATGCCCATAATCCTAGCTGCTGAAAAGGCTGAGAGGCAGGAGGATCACAAGCTCAAACCCAACCTGGGCAACTTAGTGAGACTATGTCTCAAAATGAAAAAAAAAAGAGAGGGAGGGGCTACAGGTCAGGGCTGCCTGGGCTCCACCCCCAGTACACAACAACAACTAAATTAAGTGGCTACTATTAAACCCCACAACAACAACTAAATTAAGTGGCTACTATTAAACCTAGAAAAACCCAAAGAACTAAAAGCTGTCATGCCAGGTATAGTAGTGCATGCTTACAATCCTAGCACTTGGGAAACTGAGGCAGGAGGAGCACCTTAAGTTTAAGGCCAGCCTGGCCTACATACTGAGTTCAATGGCAGCTGAACTGCATAGCAAGACCCTGCCTCAAAAAACCTAAATAATAAATACATTTTGTCTTCCTTAAGAGTAAATGGTAATTTTTCCAACCCCAAACCAGTACTGTTAGGTTTCCTTTGTTGGTAGGGAATAGTTTTTTTTTTTTTAATCTACTATTGTAAAATATATATCATGTAAATGCAAGAATACATACTCAATTTAAAAAAACAAAATCAACACCAATCAGGCTAAGAAATAATGTAACCTTAGAAATTCTGTGGTCTTTCTTCATTACACTAATCTCTTTCCTCCTAAAGAGAACCATTCCCTCATTTCATTATTCCTATCTGTCTTTAGAATGTGTTTTATTTTATTTGGGTACTTACTACGGTACTTAGTTGGGAACTTCACTATAGGTACTTACACAGGAACTCACTATGTTGTTCTGGCTGGTCCTTAATTTTCGAGCTCAAGCAATCTTCTTGCCTCAGCCTCCCAAGTAGTCAGGCCTATAGGTACAAACTATTGCATCTAGCTCTCCCATACATATTTACAGTTTTACCATTTATGAAGATATCTATTTAAAAATGTATCATTTAATTCTGCCTTTTAATTAATTTTTTTCTTTTTTCTTCTTTTTTTTTTTTTTTTTTTTTTTTGAGATAAGGTCTTCCTATGTAGTTCAGGTTGGCCCTAAACTCACTACTAGGCTAGGCTGGCCTTGAATTTGTGGCAATCCTCGTGGCGCAACCTCCTGAGTGCTAAAAGTATGCACATAAGGCCCAGCTATATTTTTTTTTTAACTGACACCAGGGATCAAACTCACGATCTCGAGCTTGCAAGGCAGGTGCTTATGCCGCTGAGCTAAATCCCCAGCCCTGCCCCCCAGCTACATTTTTAAACTTTACATAACAGCATCAAACTTGTGTTTTTCCATGACCTGCTTCTCTTGCTAAATATTACGTTTTCTGAGTTTTCCACCAGAGGAGCAGATAACAAGCTAGGATAGTAGCTCTGCAGTCGGCCAGAGCCTCTGACTGCAAACAATTGTATGCTCCATGAGTTATGCCGCAATCTCATGCTGGCTTCCATGAGGCACTGCACACAGGGAAACAATTAGAGGTGTTTCACCTGAGCGTGGCCAGGATCCCACAGAGTCTGGGGGCTGAGCAAGCAGACGGTGGTGGTGCCATGTGAGCCTGGGCAGACGCACCCCCGGCATAAACCCTTCCCAATTCCAGCTCCACAGCTCCACACAGCAGCAAAAGGGGAGTGGAGGAGCCGCTTCGCCATCACAGTCCTCCCCTTCAGGACACAACACACACCTTCATCTGATCATGATGAACAGCACACGGATCCAAGGAAAACCTACACTTCAGACGGCAGAAGCTAAACACTTGTGTCGGAGGCAAGGGCTGAAGCCCACCATGCACTGTCCCAGGAAGCCAGGGCAGCGAGTACTGACTGCCCTTAGGTCTTAAAGGTTCAATTCTCCACCTCCCAACCACAGACCTTGAAAATTGCATCCACTGTACCTCACTTCTCAGGTTTAGGGAGTTACAGGAAGTGATGCTGCACACAACAGTCTAGGCACGAGGAGAAGCCACTGCCACCTTCACTGAGTCACTCTCAGCATGTGAGACCCTCAGAGTGACTCAGTTCACTCCTACAACAACCCTGGAAAGCGGGTAACATCTTCCTAAACTGAGGCTCTGAGAAGGTTTGTGACTTTTCCAATATCACATAGCAAGTAAACGGCAGGCCAGGCTCTGATCTGTCTTCTGATTCCAAAGCCCTACACTGTTATCCAGCAGACCAGCTGCAGCAGGACGGGCGCAAGTGACCTGCACACACATTTAAGGTGCTCCCTCAGGTTCCGCTGAACAGATCTGTGTGGATGCAGGACAAACGCTTGGATGGCAGAGGCCTGTGAAAACACAGAGCTCTGTGTACTCAAGAGCTCGGCCCACTGAGAGGACGCGGGAAGGCACTGTGCCCCTACAGTGAACCGGCACTGAACATGTATTGTAGGGGGTGGGCAAAAGCGCATCCCACTTTCTGCTGAGGTCCAGCTGCTATTTTAAGAGGACAGAGGACAGCAAACAAGGGTTTTCAGGATTTAGAAATTTCAAGATTGATCAACTTGATAACTCAAGAGCCTAACAAACAGGTTGAGTTAGGCCTGAATTGTCAAAAGCTAGACTCTGCCCTTCCTGCCCGCACTAAGTGACATCAGCATGTGTGACACACACTTCCCAAGTCCAGTTAAAAGACCAAGATGCAGTTATGAAACACCAACGCCGAGCAGGCTCCACTCTGAGGAGAGCTGAAGTATTCCTTGCCCCTAGCCGGTCCCCGCTGTTCCCTCTAGCTCCGGACCGTGCTTTCGCTGACACAGGACTAGCCAGTCACACTGTTGGTCCCAGTCTTGTCCCACCTGACAACTGATCCCATCCTGCGAGCCATCTAGCAAATCACGGAAAATACAACTGGTCTTCAGGCATCATGGTCACCTCTGCAGAGACTCACAGAGAGGAGAGCAGGGAAATGGATCTGAGTTTCCAGTGGCGCTATGGACAAGAGATCCAAACCTCCACCCTCTCTGCTCCCGATAGCTCCCAGCCACTGCTACCTATAAACCCGTAAAATGAGCAAATCCAGAGAAGCCGACAGCTGTTCTTGCAGGGACCTGTCACGAGCCTGTGGGTGCTGGCTGATATCAGGCTCTGTTATTCAGAGAATTGTACCTCACTCCCTAGGATTTGTGGGGATTTTTACCAGTTACCCTTTCTTGGCAGATGAGAAAGATTTATGAACTATATGTATAGAATTCCTCTCCTTAAACTGTCTGGGAATTTTGTATTCTGTAATAACCATTAAAGAAAGAAGCAATCCCCTCCCTCATCTCTGAGTCTAACACATTCAAAGCTATCCTCCTGCCTAGGAACCTAGTTGCTTTGTCTTGAACATGAATCCTACCATCAATACAGGTATGAGATGGGAATTGCAACAGATAATAAGACATCATGTAAGATGCACAACAAGTAAAATATAACTTAGACTCTAAGTAGAGAAGGTTTTAACCAACATCTGAAAGGGACAACCAACTACCCCTAAATTTAGAAATGCAGTCAGAATCTTTCACATCCAAGCAACTCTGCTGTGAGCACTTCTATGTGTATCCTAGAAGGATAACTGTAGTCAACAGTTACCCTTACCTATAAACAGCCCCTTACCTTTAAAAAAGCAGACACGTTTTCTAATCAACAGGTGCTTTTATCCAAACAACCAACCTTCCCAGCCCCAATCTTTATCAGGCAACCACTGACCCTTCTAAGAATCCTGAGTTCTTTTTTTTTCTTTTTCCTTTTTATTGGTACTGGGGATCAAACTCACGACTGCCTGCTTGCAAGGCAGGCGCTTATGCCGCTGAGCTAAATCCCCAGCCCCTGAATCCTGAGTTCTTGGGGCTGGGGATTTAACTCTGCGGCACAAGCGCCTGCCTTGCAAGCGTGCAGTCGTGAGTTTGATCCCCAGTACCAATAAAAAAAAAAAAAAAAGAACACTGATTTCTATACTCCCCTCTGGAACCCCTTAACATAGTTAAGCAGTTGTAAGATCTCTGAAATGTGCAGTAGTTTCTAAGGTAAGTTTCATGACACTTCTTAACCTGTTTTCAGTAGCTTCAGGCACGGTCCCAGCTCCTTCTCATCAACAGGGTCTTACCGGGATCTCCCACCAAAGCAGTTTGTGCTGGTGGGCGGGTGCCGGTTCTCGGAAGCTACGCTTGACCCACTGGACTCTCTTGAAGGCAGCTGTGATCCTAGAAAGGGATCAATCAGAAGAAAGGACAGAAATGTTGAGAGGTGGATACCAGGCCCAGAACTTTGTGTATTAGAGTTACTCGCCAGGATAGGGACCAGACATCTCACCAGCTTCAGTCCCTGGCATGGGAAGGAATAAGGACAAACACGGGATGTGATTCACACAATGACACAGGGCACTTAAGCCCAGGAAACCACTCCTCTTCTCCAAGACACTGAAGAATGTCCATGGCACTAACACGAAGACTGTCTCATACGTCGCAGGAACTTGGGCCTCGCAAGTGTGAAATCAGTTGCTAACATGAAAAGTAGACACAGGAATGGGGACATAGTGCAACCAGACAGCTCATTTTAAAATCATAGGCAGGTGGGGTGGTGCGTACCTGTTACCCCAGCACTTGGGAAGCTCAGGCAGGAGAATCACAAATTCAAGCCTGGCCTGAGAAACCTGGTAACTGAGCAAGACTCTGGTTTTAAAACAAAACAAAACAAAAACTTTTAAAGGCTTGGAGATGTCACTTAAGCCAAAGGTCCAGGTTCAATTCCTGTACTGCAAAAATAAAAATGATAATATAAAAGGCCTAATCACACCTGTCACTTTTTTACTAAAAGCCCTTCAACAGCTTTCTGCTTCTCAGAACGGAGGAAGTTCGATATCCTTACCACGGTGTCGCAGGCAGCGCGACCTGAGCAGAGCAGACCTCCTCGCTGGCCTCGCACCTGCCTCCTTCCTGCCTCTCAGGACCGACCGAGGCACCTCTGTTCCCCGCAGCCCCAGCCTGGCCTGTCTAAACTCCTCGTGCCCTTACCTCAGCTTCCTCAGGGACCCTTCGCTGCCGCCCGGGCTTAGACGAGATCCCCCAGGACAGGAATCTCAGACCACTGTGCTTTTCCTTCCTCGCTTCTGTCACAGCACAGTTTCGTCATTATTTTTATTCGCTCATTTGATGTCTAACTTCTCATGCCCCCACCAGGGAGGTTCCGGACTTGGAGGAATGGAAACTGTGGGAAAGCTGCCCCCCGCCGTGCAGCTAGCACTGGATGAAGAGCTGCCCCGGTCCACTTGTCTGTGGTGACGAGGGAAGGTGCGTGTTCTTCTCCCTGCACCGAAAGGTCCCCAAGTGCTGACCAACCCCTTACAGGAATTCCGGGCAGCAGTCAAGGTTCACCCACTCACTGAGATGCCAGCCAACTGTCCTTGAATTAGAATGCAAATTTCACCCTCTTGAAGCTTGTTTAGGGCCTGATGAGTTATAGCACATCTAACAAAAATCATTTAATGGGAAAAAATAGGGAGAAACCCAACTCCTTTCAGACCTCAGATTTAGGAAATAATTTCCTGCTCTACTGAAAGGTGAATAATTTCAGACTAGACCAAAGAAACAAACTATCGACCTCCAGGACCGAGCAGAGGACACTCTCCAACTTCCCTGCCGTGGCCTGCTGTTTGCCAGGCGCATCTCTAGAGGATGCAGCGCTGCCCAGCCAGCACCAGCGCTCACACAAACCTTCAGCTGTGTCGGGTGTAACTGTATTCGGGAGAGGAAAATGGGCCAAAGTCACATTCCCTAATGACGTTTCTTTTCCAAAGCCCGTGAGGGATGAAAAGATGTTTCTCTTTCCTTTCAACACAAATAATAACACACAAAGATGTGACACTTATCTTAGCCCTTGATCAAAAAACAGCACTTGAAAAATCCCGTGAGGATTTTGACCTGGAACACTTGAGGATGGCTGCCAGCTAAGCAGTACCCAAACCAAGAGGCTCGTAGATAAGCAAGCTCGCAGCACCTCCTGTCCAGCCCGCCCTGCCCAGCCCGCCCTGTCCCTGTAGGGCCCTGGGGAGTGGGGCGCCACTCACCGTCTGTCACGGCACTGCCATTAGGCACGCTTCCCACGTCAACAGAGGGCCCGTCCAGGAAAATTGTCAGCTCTCCGCCTGACACAACGCTGCCTTTGTTCTCCGTCTGCAGGTTCAGGGTCAGCTGCGTGTTCTCCACTGTGGGGCACAAAACGCAACATGGGTGGACTAAATCAAATGCACCCCAAGTTCTGAATCTGGATGCTGCGAGCTCCCATTTCACCTACTCTGGCACCTCTGGTAACTCCTGCCTGTGTCTTCAAATCTGTCTCATGGCATGGCAAAAAAGAGCGGGAAGGAATGTGTCTACCGGTGATTGCCATCCTGTTAGGCAGTAAGAAAGAACTGCTCTTATTTTCTTCACTAGGTTAGGTAAAGGACTGTGAGAAAAGGGGCGTTAATGGTGTACAAAAGGTGACGTTGGTTGCATAGCATCCCCCAAATCCACAGGAAGAATAAAAAGAAGAGGAACAAGCCAAGATGCCCAAGGAAATGCCAGCAGGAGGACTGCAGAGGTTTCCTCTCTTCTTAACCAAGTTAAAGGTATTTCTTGCAGCAGACATGGTAGTGAACCCCCGTAGGTAGGAAGATCCCTGTGAGTTCAAGGCCAGCCTGAAGTGCATAGCAAGCCTGTGTCTCAGACAAACAAAAAGATACTTCTTGTTTTGTTTTGGTGCTAGGAATCAAGCCCAGGGCCCATGCATGCTAAACTTCTGCTCCACCTCTAGCTATACCCTCAGCCCCCCAAAATAGTCTTAAAGTGTTTAATCCTGCCAGATACGATGTGCACTTCTGGGATCCCAGGTATTTGCAAAGCTAAGGAAGGGCAGCGACAGTCATCCTGGGTAACACGGTGGTCAGGGATTATATCAAAAAAAAAAAAACAAAAACAAACGGGGGAAAAAAGACTTTAATCCCACGAATGCATCTGAAATATAAGGGGATAGTTTAAGACCATCAAAGCTTACTACCCGCAAGTCAGTCCCATCAGTCCTGTAAAAAGGGAGCAGGCAGGCCAGGAATTTAGCTCAGCAGCATAAGGGCCTGCCTGGCAAGCGCAAGGTTGTGAGTTCGACCCCCGATACCAGAAAAAGAAAAAGAGACCAGATAGCCCAGATCTGGCTGCGTGACTGAGGTGAGACTGGGCTCACCAGACCACAAAGCAGATTCAGCCTGGCAGAGGATAAGAAGAGCCCAGCAACCCTCACAAGAGAGGGAGCAACGTGCAACCTGAAACCAGGGGCAGGCCAGACTCTGCCACTGAGCCTGGCCACACTGTTTCCATCCAGGTAAATGCTCTGCCCTGCCAACCCATCCTCCTGCGCAGCTCAGCCAGTGGGGAGGTCAGGGCTCAGTGGTTCCAAGCTCCCCTCCACCAACCCCGTGCCTGCCAGCACCTTACAAGTCCAAGCCAGGGAAGCACCGCAGGGCAGAACTTCTCTCCTCTCCTGTCCCATACCCAATCTACTACTTGGTTTTCCTTCTCCATTGTTGCTGTATTACTAGAAGCTCCCGTACCTGTTTTCTAGACAAGGCAGGGTATTATCATAAGTGTTTCTATCAGCACTAAGGTAAATTTGAGTTCTTTCCAGGGATCACCTCCCTCACATCACTTCCCACCCCCAAAATAACAATCCAGCTTCAAATCTAAGAAACAAAAAGTTGGGCATAGTGTGCACACCTGTATACCTGTGATCCCAGCACTGGGGAAGCTGAGGCAGGAGGATCACTGTGACCTCAAGGCCAGTTTGAGCTATAGAGTGACACCTTTCTCAAAAAAGGAAAGGAAAGGAAAGAATAACTTTTCAAGAACTTCACAAAAGCAATTCATCTCTTCCATGAGCCAGCGCAAGCCATGAGGGTCCTGGGAGGAGAAACAAGTACTCCCTACCCCATAAGCAACTAGCTGATTTGGAGGACAGGCTGAGTTGATAGCAACTGAGGTACAAAGACAACTAAATGCTTGTATTGTTTGATTGACTTTGCAGGCCGAAGGCTGGTAGTCTGAGCATCTATTAGGAGGATAACAATATGCAATATAGCAACCATGGGGGATTTCCTTCTGTCTTGTTTTTGAAATTGAATATTGTTGTTTTGTTTTGTTCTATTTCATTGTTGTGCTTTATTTAACGTTCTGCTTTGACTATTTTCATTCTGTTCTGTTTGATTTTATTATATCTGATGGTATGGGTAGCAATTTTGAAGATAACAAGCAGCATTATGGTAGCCATTGTTGACTTCCTATATCCTGTTTTGAAATTCTATATCACTGTTTTGACTGGCTTTATTGTTTTATTTTGATTTTCTTTATAGTATGCATTCACTAAATGCCCACTAACTAGAGAATGGATAAAAAAGAGGTGGTACTTTTATACAATGGAGTACTATTCAGCCTTAAAGAGGGATAAACTGGAGACTTTTCTAGGTAAATGGATGCAATTTGAGACCATATTCATAAGTGAAATAAATCAGACACACATGTGTAAACATGTTGTCTCACCAGTGTAAGAAGCCGAAAGAAACATTATGCACATGTATATATATACATATAAAAAGGTAGCTAAGATAATTATACTACTGATTTCTCTGAGGTCATTGAAAAGAAAGATTTGTGGAGTGCAGATGTCTTGTGATCTGGGTAAATGATTTGAGGATGACACTGCACAATGTATGTAGTCTTCCCACTCCTATTTCCAGGCCAGATGTAGCACCTAAGTCTCTGGCAACGTACTATCTTCCTTGACTTTGCTTGGTTCTAGACTGAAGAATTTCTCTTGGTCTGATTTATTCATTTTATGTTGCTCTTGACCTTTCTGAGGCTTTTGGTGGGGGGATTGTGGCAACAAACGCAGAATCCTTCAGGGTAGCCACACGGCTGTCAGGGGTAAACTGTCTTATCTTGCTTCTAGGACACCCTTGAAGATGCCCAGCCTTCGGGCTCAGCTCCCTGCTTTCCTTCTCCTGTGTCAAAGTCCACCTTTTCAAACAGATGCAGCATGTGTCCCCATCCCTAGAGGATGATGGCACCCAACAGCAAGATGGTAGACCCCAAAGCTGCCGGCGTACCCCCAAGACAATCACCCTGCCACAGTCCTCTGACAGAATCTGCAGGCACAACCTGAACTTTTCTCCCCAGGTCTCACCCCAAAGCTCCAACCTGGCCCAGCAGAGTTCTCGCAGCCTTGGGGACTCAGAGGTCACCCTACATGTCTTGGAGAACATTTTACCTAGGACAAGAAACGCGACCTTTCTCTTTGAACTTCTAAGAACATAACCATAACCATCCACTGTTTCATTCACCAAAAGAGGAGAGCCAGCGAGACCCCGGGTCATCATGACCACAGCCAAGCTATCAAAGTTGGTGTCATTAAGAACATGGCACCTGATGGCTTGTAGTATGACGAATACAACATCACTCCCCAGTCCACTTGCTAAAGGCATTTAACCTGAATCTAATCAAGCCTCTACATCTATTTTCAAGGTTACATGAACTAAGGGGCAGAGAAACACACAAAATGACACCATGAGACAAGCAGACAAATTCAGGGTGTGGAATACCTCCAGGCTAACTCTCTTGGATGCCTGAAAAACTCAGTGGTATTAAACATACTTTTATTTTTTAAAAAGGGAGAGAGAAAAAGACTCTTCTAGATTTAAAGAAATATAACCACCAAATGCCATGCAAGAATTTTTCCTAAACCTTCTTTTGAAATAAACATATATTCTTAAGACAGCTGAAGAAATTTGCATACAACCTAGCTATTAGCTGTTACTTGAAACTATTGCTAATTTTACATTCAAAAATAGTACTATGGTTTTTATATAAGAACACTCTCATTCTTGGGAGGTGCAAGAGTAGATTATAACACTATTTGCACTTATTCCCAAGTGGTTACTGTAGAATAGGCTGAAGATTTTAGAAATAAACGGTCCTGGTATCTTCCATTACCCTCAAATAATTCCAGTTTAAAACAACTGCACAGAGCCACACATTCGCACATATAGATACGATAAAACAGATGCAGCAGAATGTTAAGTGTGGAATCTAGGGGGAGACATGTGGGTAATTCACTGCACTAGGCTTTCAATACTCCTGTATGTTTGCACATTTCATAATAAACAACTGGAAAAGTATTTTTAATTGGCAGAGCTATTAAAAAAATTAAATCTCTGAGAACAGAGCACCCTGTTATTCTCCTTTAAAAAAAAAAAAAAAAAAACCTGAGCCCAGGGAGCCCTACAATGCATAATGGGTCTAAAGAAACCATTAGGTAACTGAGTGACAGACGTGAGCAGACAGGACGCTGAAGACCAAGTGTGGCTGGAAAACATATCCTGGAATCTCAGTTATAAATAGCAAGCCCAGCCACCTCACCTCTGGGCCCGCTGGCTGCATACAGCTGCACTGACGACTCTACAAAGGCCCTTTCTCCTCCTGCACGTCTTCCTGAGGCGCTGCTCAAAAATCAAGACACAGGCCTGGGGGTGCAGTGCAGTGATGGAGCATGTGCCAGGCATGTGTGAGGCCCCAGGTTCCATCCCCAGCACCGAGGGGAAAAAGACAGAAAGAAACTCATGAACGAGTGAGTGCAGGAGGGCGGTTTCCACAACCGGAATGGGACCTGGCGCAGGAAGTTCACTTGCTGTCAGCCTCAGTAGGCCTTGCTCCAGCTGGATTCTTGCAGCTCTCGGAAGTACACTGAGCACCTACTATTTTACAGTCACTGTGAATGTTCAGAAACAAGTCAGGCTCAAATCTGTGCTCCTGGAGCACTCAGTATATTGTAATTGAAAGGAAATAGACCCCCCCCCCAAAAAAAGCAAACTGTTTAATCTGTTGGATGGTGGCTGGTGGAACAGGAAAAAATGAAACAAGGAAAGACAATGTAAGTCAGGCATGGCAGCACAAGCCTGTAATTCTCTGGTCTCAGCATTCAGGAGGCTGAGGCAGGAGGACTTCAATTTCAAGGTCGGACTGGACTAAATAGCAAGACCCTGTCTCAAAAATAAAGAAGGGCCAGGCATAGTGGTGCATGCCTGTAAGCCCAGCACTCAGGAGGCTGAGGCAGGAGGCTGAGGCTGAGGCAGGCTGAACTTAACATGAGTTCGAGGCCAGCCGGGCTACAGTAAGTCCAAGG